CTCCATTGAAATTAAGTTGGCCAGAATGTTCAGGGTGAAAGTCCCGAAATCTTGTTTATACATGGGTGTCGATCCTACGGACGAAATTTTCATAAAATTGCAGATTTGAATTGTTTATGTGGTACCGCTTTGAATTAGAATACCACTGAGTTGTAATCTCAGTTGGGTTATTGAAAATAATGAAATTGACTCATAAATTGAGAATACTGAATGAACTTGAAATGAATTGAAATATGAACTTTGGTGTCTTACGGTTATATAGAAAGTGAAGATTTTGTCACCGGCATTATATATGCACAATGTGCTTATATCTTTGTTAAATCTCATATACTGTGTTAGATTATTTTTATTGGGCTTTGGCTCACCTTATTTGGGGAAAACCATTTTCAGGTGTTGGTGATATGCCTCCGCTAGGGCAATAGCTTGGAGGAACTTTGAGAGCAAGAGCTTCTTTATTTTATTGTATTTTCTTTGGCATAGCTAAGGGCTTTAAGTGTATGAGCTAGTCTCACTTTTGTTATAACCAAGCCAAAACTTAGAAAGGTGTAAACCTATAGGGCATTTATTTATTCTAAACTCTTTTGTACCATTAACTTTATGAAATGAAAGAACGTTGCATTCTTATTCATGCAGTTATTTATATATGATTTTGGTTGGATTTATGATTATATTTTAGGAGCATTACAAAGATCAAGTGATGTCCTTGTCCACCTCCAATCCTAGGAGAGAGGCAAGGACTGGGTACAAACCTAACTTCCAACTTGTACTTGCACGGAGTAGCTGCCCTCAAATCTAAGTTTTCTAGCTTGACAATGACTGCCAAAAGTTCTACTTTTCTCATTCATGATTAAAGTGATTTCATATGGATCCATTTTGCACCACTTTCATAACTGTATTCCGTTCTCCCAAATTTTAAAATTTTTAAAAAATTAATAATAAAAAAAAGGCATACAAGAAACTGTTTGGAAAAGAAGAAAAAAAAAACAAAATTGATTTTGAGAAAATTTCCCGAAAATAGAAAGAAGAGAGAGAAGAGAGAGATTTACTCACAAGTTTGGGCTCTATTACCAATCAGCTAAAATTATCACATTTATTCACTCATTTATTTCTACAACAATGCTTGGTAGCTCGAATTTTCATGACCTGAAAGGCTCGAACGTCTCAAAATGATGTGGTTTTGGGAGTAAAACGACATCGTTTTGATACATTCAAGCTTCGGGTCACACAAATTGGAGCTACCAAGCATTTTTCTTATTTCTAATGAAAATATTTTAGATGAAACATTAAAAAAATAAAAAAAAATGAAAATGTAATACAAAAAATTCAAAATAAGTGCCCTAAAAACAAAAACAAAAAAAAATCTACCTTTTCAATTTTCATTAATAGGTCTTCAATAAACTACCAATTTTTTTTTAAAGCATCTTTTCACATTTGAACCTAAAAGAATTAAATTTTTTTGTAAAAATTTGTCACACATTACTAAAGACCAAAAATCAAAATCAAAACACTAAAGACCACACAAAAAATACCAACAAAAAACTACTAAAAAAGCAATTTCTAAACAGCACCCAAGCAAACTTGAAACGACAGAGTAATTTTGAGATCATAATAAAAAAAAACCCTAGCCTGATTTGGGTATTCTCTCAGTGAGTTCTCATTTGGATGAGATCTTCCTGCTGCTGAGACCAGTTCATAAATCCCTTCCTAATTAAATAGGAAAACAAGCAAACAAAAATAAACTATATACAAAATAATGCGACTACCAATATTGGAATAATAAGCCAGTTTAATTAATCTTCTTCTGACTTGAAATGAATGGGCACACAACTATCACACTATACAAATTTCATACACTTTTTTGTGTGTGTAAATCATTACTCATTGATAATATGCTATAAATAGATTGACAATATTTTCAAAGAACTTAAATGTCCTGAATGGTTTTGCAAATCCAACTAGACTCAAAAAGCCAAAAGCAAGCACCAATCAGTTGATAAAAGACATAAGTAATGAACCCATCATTATTTTTGAGGTGATTATAAACATATAACTAAAAGCAGCAACATGACAATAGTAGTGGTTAGAGTGATTTTTCTCTAAAGTTTTCTAAAGTGCTACATTATGTGGTTGAGATTTACTGGCAAGTCACATCAATTTTTCTGATATGACTTGCCAATAAATCTCAACCACACAATATAGCACTCTAGGAAACTTTAGGGAAATTTCACTCTAGTGGATCCTTGGTGGTGGTCACAAAGGGTTCCAGAATTGAGAGTTCAGTTCACTCAAAGATCACACATTTAGACATCTGCAGTAAATCACAGTACAAAAATAATTTTTTAACATATAAAAAAAAGTACAAATTAGGCTAAAAATTGTAACATACAATCAACCAGAGTAATCAAATCAGAAAAATATTATGTTTGGTTAGTCAGAAAAGAGAATCAAAGTAAGAGGAAGCTCACCTCACTTGGGACTTTTGTCAAACACGTTGTCATCAGCAACCAAGCACCATATATGCACATGAAATTGAACACATCAATTACAGTTTTGGGGCAAGAGTAGTATCAATTCTAACCAACTTAATCAAACATATATGAGTGTGTATACATATATATGCAAAATTCTTGAATGCAAAAAATATTAATCAAATCAAATAGATGAAATAGAACACTAAATAGAAGAAATTGATAGTTTAAAAGGATAAAAATGATAAACTAAACACTAGAAGAAAAAAAAAAACATTAGTCAAATCAAATTTTGCTTCAAAAAACTTCTAAAAATGACAACAAGCAAAGTTAGAACTCATAGTTTGATAGTATTCTCCAAGTTCGGAGCAACACCATGAGCCAAGAAAATCAACAAGAAGGCTCTTGGTTGGGGTTTCAGAATCCGAGTGTTCAGCAACGAGTGGTGTCTCTTTGTCCATGGCTTCTCAGAACTCTCAATTGGGTCGATTTGCCACAACGAGATATGTAAACCTTAGAAATTGGTGGTGTGGTGGGGAATATGAGAGAGAGAGTATGAGAGTAGGGTGAAGAGAGAGAGAGAGCACCATTTGAAACCCTTACCCTTCGAAGCCTCTCTCTTCTACCTCTCTTCTCGGTTTTCCTCCTTGAACAATATTCTATGTTCAGCCATTAGAAGCCAAGGAGTGAATGTTTTGAACAGTATTCAGTGCTCAGACCCTTCTCTTCCCTTGCGATTTTGCTTCTTCGAACCCTTCTCTTCTCTTCTCTATGCCTAAGATCATCTCCAACGGTGAACCAAAATTGACATCAGATTCAAATTTTGATGAAAAATACACTTTTTTATGCTCCAACCATTGCACCAAATGAATATCAAAATGAGAATTCAGCAAAAAAAGTATCAAACTAAGAACAAGATAGGGATTTTACCAAATCACTGTTACTGACCATTGAAAGAGGTACACCGGTCAACCAGCCGGCTGTCCGGCCGGTTGACCAACCGGTCAACCGGTTCATCAGATTATGCGACGGGTTTGAACTGTGACGGGTTTGAACTGGTTGACCTGCGACTGGTTGACCATCCGATCGCCCGGTCTAAGCATGGGAATGGTAGGTTTCAACTGCTTTCAACAGGTTTGGTTTGAACAGGTAGAATTTCAGATAGGTTTATTTTTAGATAGCTTATTTTGTGGACTTAGAATAATTTGGAATAATTTGAAGGGTGATATAAATTTTAATTTCATTGAAAATATAATTCAAATTGTTATCTTTTATATAAATATTTTAAAACTAGTAGTTTCGGTAAATTTACCGTTGGATGGACAGAGTCTTTTGACAATTTGCCGTTGTTATCTCATATACATATTTTAAAAGTAGCCATTCTAATAAATTTACCGTTGCATGAACAGAGTATTTTTAAAATTTACCGTTGATAATGTGTTCTATAAAATATATCAGTTTTGTATATCAAGATGACAGAGTATTTTATTTTGAGAAGAGCATTACATTGTATGTTGTGAATTTTGTTTCTTCTGTGATTTTTCTCCTTTGAAACTTTAATTTATATTATCTGACTAAATTATCTGATTCCGAGGTTCAGTATTGATTGTATATCATTCTAATATTTTTTACTATTTTACATATTGTATGTACTGTATTTTTTTGAAGTTATGGAAGATTTTCAAATGTTTGAAGAATCACAAATGTTTCAGCACAACACTGATATTAATTTTATGTCGGAAACTTCGCGAGAACAGAACACGCAGAGCAGTGATAATCATTTCATTTCAGAAACTTCTCGTGTTTCTCGTGGTAAAGCATTTACAATTATAGAAGATGAAACTTTATGTAGATCTTGGTTAGCAGTCTCTCAAGATCCCATTACTGGTAATAGTCAGACTATGGTTATATTTTGGGAACGAGTACTTGTTAATTTTAATTCACAATTGAGTGGTGAATCAAATCGAAACCGTATTTCTTTGTCTCACCGTTAGTCTGCCATGCAAAAGGCAATTAATAAATTCTGTGGTTTTCTTGAACAAATTCAACTGAGGCAACAAAGTGGAACAACTGAGGCAGACATAGTAACATTTATTTGTGTTATTAAATATCAAATTTCTTCTCTAAATGCATATTTGTTATTAAAATTGTTGTAATTTTTTTTGTAGGTCGCTGAAGCAAAGCAGATGTATCATGCAATACAGAAAAAACACTTCACATTTGATACATGTTGGGATATTTTGCGAGGCGCAGGCTTTATCGAAGTAAAGCGCACCATGACAAGTTAAAATAATATAATTTAATATGAGATATATAAGCAAATAACTAACTGGTATAACATAAACAAAATACAATATTGAACATTTTAAAAAATAAATACTAACAAATATCTCTATTTTAACATATACAAATGAGTATAAGCATGCATTTCAAAACGTAAAACACGAATATCTACGATCTAAAGGTCAACTAATAACAATATTTCAAGTTTAAGCATGCATTTCAAACATCAACAAATTAAACCAACAAAACATAAAGTCTTTGCTTCCATTTATCCAATGAGGATCTAACAATCATCATCATCCTCAATATCAACAACACGCAATTCATAATCTTCTTCTTCATCATTGGATTTGTATCCTTCTACATCTTCCTCTTCTGTCTCCTCTGAATCTGCCTCTTCCTCATCTATCAATTGACATGCATTTGATGATCTAGAACCCCTTGGCCTTGCCCTCGATGATGATGGTGTCTTTGAAGTTGTTGATCTAGTTCTCTTATTTCTTTCCCGAACACCAGAAGCTCTAGCAACATCACCCCACGTCAAACTTTCATCATCAAACACATTATCGTTGTCTTCATCCTCTTCTCCATCCATCCTCCCAACCAACCACTCATTGCTTTCATCAATATTTGTTAAAGTGATGGGATCAAGTGTGTCACGCATATCATATCAACGTCTCAATTGTCTATTGTACTTAATAAATACCAAATCATTGAGACGTTGTTCCAACCTATTTCTTTTTTTGTTGTGGAGCTACAAGAAAAAGAGAATGTATTAAAATTTACCATCTGAGAAGGGAAAAAAAAAGGAATTCACCAAACTTGAGGTAGATGCTCACATGCTCAAATACACTCCAATTTCTTTCACAACCAGATGCACTACAGGTTAAGCTAAGAACTTTTATGGCAAACTTTTGCAAATTTGGGGCTGAAGAACCATATGCAGACCACCAATCAGCTGTGAATTGCAACTAATTTTAGCACAACTAGAAACTTTTGATTTAATCTAGAGGCATGAAAAAGTTAATGGTGTAAAATGGATTACCTGGTGCCCTTGTCATTCTCTGCCTAGTTGCTAGTGGCATCGCAAAGAGACCTTCAGATTTTGTATAAATACTCATTTCTTGAGTGATTTTATCTTGAATGTCAGTGCCTCGAACCAACCTTGACACACACTTATACAACCCTGTCATGATTTCAGGACCATGCTCAATACTTGGATTAGAATAGAAGAACTCTGGATTCAAAAAATGGCCAGCTGCGTGAAGAGGTTGATGCAATTGGATATTCCACCTAGGGGTGTGCACGGTGCAGGTCGGTGCGGTTTGAGAGAAAAATAGAAACCGTATGGCGGGTGGCGGATTGATAAAAGTGTCACTAGAATTTGCCATTTTCCTTATCAAAAACCGGCGGTTCAGTTGGCAAATAATGGCGGATTTGCCTTGGCGGTTCGAGCGGATTGGCGGTTTATAAAAAATATAATTCAAATTACAAAAATTAAATCAAATAGTAAAAAAAAGACGAGAGATATCATGATGTTAAGCATCTTGCGAAGCTTTCTTCTGATGCAGCAAGTGTAGCAACAACATGATAATATCAACGATTATGCCATCAGTTCATTACAAGCATCTGTGGAAGCTACAGTGATCAAATACAATACATAAAATTCCCCTCGAGCAGTAATGTAATACTATATTCTAAGGTATAGAACAACAAGCAAACTTAAGTAAAAAAGAATTTTTAGAATCTTATAAAACATGATTTAATAGTGGTGCGGGTCGGTGCGGTTTGGAAGAAAAATAGAAACCGGCGGATTGATAAAAGTGTCACTAGAATTTGCCATTTTTCTTACCAAAAATCGGCGGTTCGATTGACAAATAATAACGAATTTGCCTTGGCGGTGCGGTTCGGTGCGGTTTTGGCGGTTTCGGCGGTATTATCCACACCCCTAATTCCACCTATTGTCAATGATTTCAAAGATGTTCTTGTATTTTTCTTCTTTTTCATTAAATGACTTTGCAATACTTTCTTTAGCCCTATCCATAGCCTCATTAATGTATCCCATGGCAGGTTTTTTCTCAGAATCAACCAACCTAAGCACATGCACAAGTGGACCTGAGACCTTAAGAGCATAGACAACCAAATTCCAAAATGATGGCATCAACATAATCTGTGTTGCTTGTTTACCCTTTGGCTCCTTTGCCCATTTGGAGCTTGTCCATTCCTCCGAAGTGAACATCTTTCTCAAGTTGTTTTTTTGTTGATGAATCCTAGATAGAGTGAGAAAGGCTGTTGCAAATCTTGTCTTTGCAGGCTTGACCAAATTCTTTAACTGTGTAAACATCCTCACCATATTCAACACACCTGGACGGTTATAAATATAACCGTGTACCCGAATAGCCCTGTCAAATGTCTTCTTCATATGTGGCAATTTGAAAATATCTTCCAGTATCAAATCCAAGTAGTGAGCCGCACATGGTGTCCAAAAAAGGTGTGGTCTCTTTGCCTCCAAAAACTTACCTATTAAAATTATAGAAGCAAAACACAGAAGATTATTTAATAACAACTAAACTAACTAACTAACTAGCTAGTAAGTACATATAGAATCAAGAAGAAAAAAGATTATTACCAGCCAACACATTAGCTGAGGCACTATCTGTGATAATTTGGACTACATTAACTTCTCCAACATCATCCACAAACTTATCAAGTAGTTCGAAGAGTTTTTGCCCATCCTTTGAATAGCGTGAAGCATCGATGGACTCAACAAACATAGTTTCTCTAGGACAATTGACTAAAAACTCAATCAAAGTCCTCCCATTTTGTGAAGTCTATCCATCTGACATCAAGGAACACCCATATTTCACCCATTCCTCTTTATGAATCCTCATCAACTCATTTGTATGATTCAACTCTTTCTTCAGATATGGAACCCGCACTTCATGGAAACTGGGAGGCTTCATACCAGGACCATACTGTCCAATTGCTTCAACCATTGGTCCAAAGCTATCATAACTAATTGCATTAAAAGCTATACCTGCATCATACATCCACCTTGTGATTCTTATCACTGCTCGGTCTCTTAATTCTTTCTTATAAGGATCATTATGATCAATTGTTGTCTGTTTTCCTTTTCTATTTTGCACCACAAAATCAGGATTTGGTGTGTAGAATACATCCATGGGCCCCTTCTTCTTCAACCTTTTTGATCCAGCAAAATAACTATTTTGATTGCTTGGCAATGCTTTACTACTTGATCCACGAGGCCGCTGAATCTCATAAGCAATGTCATCTTCATCCTCTTCAAAATCATTGTTCATCTCATCAATATGAGGCAACAAGTTCATTTGATCTTTCTGTGTTTTCTTGTTTCCCATATACTCTTTTATCTCTTCCCTTACATCAAGTGGACATTTTTGACAAACTGTGACATTCCTTGAACCTCCAACAAGATGTTGTTTAACTCTATAAACCCCTCCATTAGATACTTTACCACAAAAATTACACTTAAATTGATTTGGGTTCTTAGGATCTAACTGATGTGCATATTTCCATGCAGGATCTTTTCTTGTACTTTCAGATGCCATCTAAATCATAGAAGTAGAGAATTCAGAATTAAAAAAATTAATTTTAGTATATTTTAGTTGAACCATAAACAGAGCATAACTAGAAATTAAATTAAATTCTGAACCATAAACAGAGCACAACCATAAACAGAATTAAAAAAATTAATTTTAGTATATTTTAGTTGAACCATAAAAAATTAATCATAGAAGTAAAGAAATTAAATTAATTAAATCATTGAACCATAAACAGAGCACAACTAGAAATTAATTTTAGTTGTGCTAAAATTAAATCTAAACAGAGCAATTCAGAATTAAAAAAAATTTAAAGAAAAAAAAAAAGAAAAAGGTTCAAACAGACGAGGAGAAGGCAAAAAAAATTAAAAAAAAAAAAAACACAGACGAACAGACGACCAAGAAGACAGAAGAAGACAAACAAGGCAGACGAACAAGGCAGACGAGACGAAGTAGAAGAAGACGAAGAACAAGCAGATGAAGAGACGACCAAGAAGACGAAGAGACGAACAGACGAACAAGACAAAGAGAACAGACGAACAGACGAAGAGAATAGACGGAGAGAATGAGAAGAAGAGATGAAGAAACAAAGAGAACATACCTGGGCATCCTGAACTGGAAGACGACTGCGCTGGAAGATGATTGGAAGAGAAGAACTTCTTTGGAGATTTGGATTAGGGCTCGATGTTTCTTTCGTCGTCGCTAATTTGGGCTAAATCTTTAAGTATATTTGAAGGAAATAATCTGCTGTAGCTGACCCTGAAATCTTGGTGGTCCAATCTGTATGAAAAAAAAAAAAAAAAAAGCCCTCAAGGCCTACGCCTTGGGCTTAACTGCGCCTAGCTCGAAGCGTGAGCTTTAATCGCGCCTTAGTGACATCGCCTCGCCTTGACCATTGCAAGGCGCAAGAGGTGGGCATGGCTGGGCTTTGCGCCTAGGCGCGCTTTTAATAACACTGGTTGGTGATATGCCTCTGCTAGGGCAATAGCTTGGAGGGACTTTGAGAGCAAGAGCTACTTTATTTTATTGTATTTTCTTTTGCATAGCTAAGGACTTTAAGTGTATGAGCTAGTCTCACTTTTGTTGTAACCAAGCCAAGACTTGGAAAGGTTTAAGCCTATAGAGCATTTATTTATTCTAAACTCTTTTGTACCATTAACTTTATGAAATGAAAGAACGTTGCATTCTTATTCATGCAGTTATTTATATATGATTTTGGTTGGATTTATGATTATATTTTGGGAGCATTACAAAGATCAAGTGATGTCCTTGTCCATCCCCAATCCTGGGAGAGAGGCAAGGACTGGGTACAAACCTAACTTCCAACTTGTACTTGCACGAAGTAGCTGCCCTCAAATCTAAGTTTTCTAGCTCGACAATGACAGCCAAAAGTTCTACTTTTCTCATTCATGATTAAAGTGATTTCATATGGATCCATTTTGCACCACTTTCAGAACTGTATTATGTTCTCCCAAATTTTAAAATTTTTAAAAAATTAATAATAAAAAAAAGGCATACAAGAAACTGTTTGGAAAAGAAGAAAAAAAAAACAAAATTGATTTTGAGAAAATTTCCCGAAAATAAAAAGAAGAGAGAGAAGAGAGAGATTTACTCACAAGTTTGGGCTCTATTACCAATCGGCTAAAATTATCACATTTATTCACTCATTTATTTCTACAACAATGCTTGGTAGCTCGTATTTTCATGACCTAAATAGCTCGAATGTCTCAAAATGATGTGATTTTAGGAGTAAAACGACATCGTTTTGATACATTCAAGCTTCAGGTCACACAAATTGGAGCTACCAAGCATTTTTCTTATTTCTAATGAAAATATTTTAGATGAAACATTAAAAAAATAAAAAATAAAAAAAAATGAAAATGTAACACAAAAAATTCAAAATAAGTGCACTAAAAACAAAAACAAAAAAATCTACCTTTTCAATTTTCATTAATAGGTCTTCAATAAACTACCAATTTTTTTTTAAAGCATCTTTTCACATTTGAACCTAAAAGAATTAAATTTTTTTGTAAAAATTTGTCACACATTACTAAAGACCAAAAATCAAAATCAAAACACTAAAGACCACACAAAAAATACCAACAAAAAACTACTAAAAAAGCAATTTCTAAACAGCACCCAAGCAAACTTGAAACGACAGAGTAATTTTGAGATCATAATAAAAAAAAACCCTAGCCTGATTTGGGTATTCTCTCAGTGAGTTCTCATTTGGATGAGATCTTCCTGCTGCTGAGACCAGTTCATAAATCCCTTCCTAATTAAATAGGAAAACAAGCAAACAAAAATAAACTATATACAAAATAATGCGACTACCAATATTGGAATAATAAGCCAGTTTAATTAATCTTCTTCTGACTTGAAATGAATGGGCACACAACTATCACACTATACAAATTTCATACACTTTTTTGTGTGTGTAAATCATTACTCATTGATAATATGCTATAAATAGATTGACAATATTTTCAAAGAACTTAAATGTCCTGAATGGTTTTGCAAATCCAACTAGACTCAAAAAGCCAAAAGCAAGCACCAATCAGTTGATAAAAGACATAAGTAATGAACCCATCATTATTTTTGAGGTGATTATAAACATATAACTAAAAGCAGCAACATGACAATAGTAGTGGTTAGAGTGATTTTTCTCTAAAGTTTTCTAAAGTGCTACATTATGTGGTTGAGATTTACTGGCAAGTCACATCAATTTTTCTGATATGACTTGCCAATAAATCTCAACCACACAATATAGCACTCTAGGAAACTTTAGGGAAATTTCACTCTAGTGGATCCTTGGTGGTGGTCACAAAGGGTTCCAGAATTGAGAGTTCAGTTCACTCAAAGATCACACATTTAGACATCTGCAGTAAATCACAGTACAAAAATAATTTTTTAACATATAAAAAAAAGTACAAATTAGGCTAAAAATTGTAACATACAATCAACCAGAGTAATCAAATCAGAAAAATATTATGTTTGGTTAGTCAGAAAAGAGAATCAAAGTAAGAGGAAGCTCACCTCACTTGGGACTTTTGTCAAACACGTTGTCATCAGCAACCAAGCACCATATATGCACATGAAATTGAACACATCAATTACAGTTTTGGGGCAAGAGTAGTATCAATTCTAACCAACTTAATCAAACATATATGAGTGTGTATACATATATATGCAAAATTCTTGAATGCAAAAAATATTAATCAAATCAAATAGATGAAATAGAACACTAAATAGAAGAAATTGATAGTTTAAAAGGATAAAAATGATCAACTAAACTCTAGAAAAAACATTAATCAAATCAAATTTTGCTTCAGAAAACAAAAAATTGCTTTTAAAAATGACAATAAGCAAGGTTAGAACTCACAGTTTTGATAGTATTCTCCAAGTTCTGAGCAACACCATGAGCCTAGAAAATCAACATGAAGGCTCTTGGTTAGGGTTTCAAAATTCGAGTGTTCAGCAACGAGTGGTGTCGCTTCGTCCATGGCTTCTCAGAACTCTCAATTGGGTCGATTTGCTAAAAAGAGATGTATAAACCCTAGAAATTGGTGGTATGGTGGGGCATATGAGAGAGAGTATGAGAGTGGGGTGAAGAAAGAGAGAGCACCATTTGAAACCCTTACCGTTCAAAGCCTCTCTTCTCCATCTCTTCTCGGTTTTCCTCTTTGAGCAATATTCTATGTTCAGCCATTAGAAGCCAATGAGTGAATGTTTTGAACAGTATTCAGTGCTCAGACCCTTCTCTTCCCTTGCGATTTTGCTTCTTCGAACCCTTCTCTTCTCTTCTCTATGCCTAAGATCATCTCCAACGGTGAACCAAAATTGACATCACTCCAACCGTTGCATCAAATGAATATCAAAATGAGAATTCAGCAAAAAAAGTATCAAACTGAGAACAAGATAGGGATTTTACCAAATCACTGTTACTGACCGTTGAAAGAGGTACACTGGTCAACCAGCCGGTTGCCCGGCCGGTTGACCAACCGGTCAACTAGTTCATCAGATTATGCGACGGGTTTGAACTGTGACGGGTTTGAACTGGTTGAATTGATGGGTTTGAACTGGTCCGTGGCCTGAGCGTTGTTGATGAACCGGTTGACCGACTGGTTGACCATCCGGTCGCCCAGTCTAAGCATTGGAATGGTAGGTTTCAACTGCTTTCAACAGGTTTGGTTTGAACAGGTAGAATTTCAGATAGGTTTATTTTTAGATAGCTTATTTTGTGGACTTGGAATAATTTGGAATAATTTGGAATAATTTGAAGGGTGATATAAATTTTAATTTCATTGAAAATATAATTCAAATTGTTATCTTTTATATAAATATTTTAAAACTAGTAGTTTCAGTAAATTTACCGTTGGATGGACAGAGTCTTTTGATAATTTGCCGTTGTTATCTCATATACATATTTTAAAAGTAGCCGTTTTAATAAATTTACCGTTGCATGAACAGAGTATTTTTAAAATTTACCGTTGATAATGTGTTCTATAAAATATATCAGTTTTGTATATCAAGATGACAGAGTATTTTATTTTGAGAAGAGCATTACATTGTATGTTGTGAATTTTGTTTCTTCTGTGATTTTTCTCCTTTGAAACTTTAATTTATATTATCTGACTAAATTATCTGATTCTGAGGTTCAATATTGATTGTATATCATTCTAATATTTTTTGCTATTTTACATATTGTATGTGCTGTATTTTTTTGAAATTATGGAAGATTTTCAAATGTTTGAATAATCACAAATGTTTCAGTACAACACTGATATTAATTTTATGTCGGAAACTTCGCGAGAACAGAACACGCAGAGCAGTGATAATCATTTCATTTCAGAAACTTCTCGTGTTTCTCGTGGTAAAGCATTTACAATTATAGAAGATGAAACTTTATGTAGATCTTGGTTAGCAGTCTCTCAAGATCCCATTACTGGTAATAGTCAGACTATGGTTATATTTTGGGAACGAGTACTTGTTAATTTTAATTCACAATTGAGTAGTGAATCAAATCGAAACCGTATTTCTTTGTCTCACTGTTGGTCTGCCATGCAAAAGGCAATTAATAAATTCTGTGGTTTTCTTGAACAAATTCAACTGAGGCAACAAAGTGGAACAACTGAGGCATACATGGTAACATTTATTTGTGTTATTAAATATCAAATTTCTTCTCTAAATGTATATTTGTTATTAAAATTGTTGTAATTTTTTTTGTAGGTCGCTGAAGCAAAGCGGATGTATCATGCAATACAGAAAAAACACTTCACATTTGATACATGTTGGGATATTTTGCGCCGAAGTTGTAAGTGGGATGAATTTCAAACATAATCCAAAAAGAGTACGCAGCATGCTTATCCATGTTCTAATCCACCAACTGGAGAATCTGATGCATTTCAATCCAACCAGAATAATGTTTTGCACAAAGAACCATCTAATCCATCAACACGACCAATTGGTACTAAAGCAGCAAAAGAGAACTTGAAGAATCAAACAACCCACGATAGTAGATTTGATGAAATGGCTGCCAACCAATCCAAAATTGTTGAAGTGTTATCAACTATTTCCGCTAGAACTATTGAGCGAGATGAACAAAAGGCGATCGACCGTGACTAGAAAGCTGCAGACCGTCAAAGAAGGGCCGAAGATAGGGAGGAACAACTAAAACTCCTATCTATGATGAATGAAAGAGAACAACGAAATGAAGATCATAAAATAATGTCAATGGACATGACAAATTTAAATCCAATGCAAAGGGCGTACTACGAAGATCTTCAACTACAGATTTTATTTCGAATAACTAATAGATTGCCTTGAAAGGTTCTGTATTTACTGGTTTCATCTATTGGTGTCATCTATTGGAAAAGGAAACGGAAAAACTGTGTACAATTATATGAAATGTCTCACTTGCCTTTTCCATTTATGTAAAATTAGAAATTAATTAATTTGTTCTCAGTTTTTGTTTCTTGAGATGGTTGCGTTCTATTCTCTACTGCTTCTTTGGATGCCATATTGATTGGTAAAAACAAAACACACCAATTGCTAAGTAGTTATCATGAATGAAATTCTTCTTCATGGATATGTCAGATAAGGGGCTCATATTTTTATTTTTCTTCTACAATTTCCTACAACTATCTAAATGGGTGTTGTTCTTCTGTTACGCAATCAAGTCCAAGGGCTACATCTTCATATTGTTATAGATGATTATAATTCCAAGGTTTTATAATTTCACCCTTCATTCAATCTGCGTCTTATCTTCATCTCAATGGATCTCCTCTATCTGATTTCTCAAATAAGAATATGTTGTACATGTACATACAGTATTACAGATAACTACTTACATATAAATACATCATTTATTCTTTTCTTTGGTTACCATTACACCTTTCAAAAACTTTCATACAAATTTAAGTAATCAGAAACATTAATAACATATTACAGATTATGGTATGAGTGAAGCTCGAAAAGATGGTGCTAAAGTATTACCAAGGCAAGATCATTTTACCTAACAAAATGTTGTGAAAATAATACAAGACAAAACAATGGAAACACATAATGGCACACCGATCAACAGTCATTATCTGGTTGTGGTGGAGGAGGGAAGTAGTGATGGTATATGTCATTTACGCGATGTTCAATTCTATCAATGCGATTGTTTGCCACGTCATGACGTCTTCCAATGTCCAAACGGAACTCACCAAATTGTTCAATTAATGAGTTCTGTGCAGTGGCAAATGTCTCAAACTGAATACCCAACGAATTGACCTGATTAGCCATTTGATGTTCACATTCAACGCGTTGATTATAAAGTTGTTCTTCTATGGCCAAAAAATCAGTCCAATAGTGAGGTGGTTCAGTTGATGGCATCACATTGACAGGAGGATCTTGTGGACCATCATCTGGTGGGACTTCATCCTCTGAATCATCTGCAGCATTATCATTTCCCATTAAATTGGCGGCTGCACCAGCACGATTCACAGTATATTGCGTAATGGGTGAACGGATTTTGATCTCCATTTCATTTGCAAAATGAACCTTAAAATATTTGAAAATTTTTGTCAAGAGTGCCCCAAGCAGTAATGACCGGCCCATTTCTTGATTTGCCAGCACCATTTCTTTCATAATTATGTAAGACAAATCTAACTTCTGCCCAACCTCAAAACAGTATAACAAATAGGCATTAAAATATGGGACCGCATCATGATGTCCTTTTTTCGGAGTGGCATTTTCTACAATCCACCGGTGGAGGATCCGAAGATAAGATTTTAAATGTCTTGCTTGTAGACTAATTCCAGTAAATCTGTTTTGACATATAGTAGTATATACATCAGTACCATTGCCGACAATATTAACTAACTCAGCGTCAGTCTGAAAATGGGTATTTTCATCACCTACCTCAACTCCAATAATACGTGCCAAAGTAGGAACATCAAACTGTACACCCTTTCCTTTCACATATGACAAAAGAGTAAAATTTCCATCTTCTTCATGAGTAACTCTTAGGTGAACATAAAAAAGGGATACTAGCCATGGATATACCTTTTGGGGTAAATTAATTAAATTTAGCCATCCCATTGATTCAAGTTTACTAACTAGTAGTGCATCATATTGAGGTGGCAGATTGACCCTCCTCCCTGTTACAATAGGTCAGCTTGAGAAATTTTGAAAGGCTAGTTCATGACTTTCACTGAGAAATTCATCTGTAGGATATGACTGATTTTGAGGCTGCTGTTGTTCGCATCGTCGAGGGTTAGAACTTTCACCAGCTTCTGTTCTCACTCTTTTAGTTCTAGGCATGATGTGAATATCTGTTGAATTTTAATAAAAATGTGCTATAATGAAGTAATTAACATAAACACTGTCTTTTAAAATGCTTACTGAAAACACGAACTTAGAATTAAAATGTAGACATGTATTTTTAATGAAGCATGGCCACTAAAAATTTAAGAACATAGTAATGTAGTATAAAGCATGCAGACTCTATATTCAGTACATATCAAATGAATGTAGCTCATGTTTTAATAAAACATGCACACTGAAAATTCAGTGTTGTAGTTGAGGTTTTAGTAAACTACATTCATTTTATAGAACTACAAAGTAACATCAAATAAAAATCAAAATCTTGTTCTGTAGTTCAGGTTTTAATAAACTATATTCATTTTAAAAACATTAAAGTAACATGAAGTAAAAATCAAAATCTTGTTCTGTAGTTGAGGTTTTAATAAACTAATGTCATTTAAAAAACATTAAAGTAAACTCTTATTCTGTGGTTGAGGTTTAAATAAACTACATTCATTTTCAAAACATGAAAGTAAAAAACATTCATTTTCAAAGCATGAAAGTAAATAAACTCATGTTCTGTAGTTGAGGTTTTAATAAATTACATGCATTTTCAAAACAAGAAAGTAACATCAAGTGAAACTTAAAATTCAGTTCTGTGGTGCAGGTTTTAATAAACTACATTAATTTAGAAAACATGAAAGTAACATATAGTGAAATTATGTTCCTGTCTTCTGTAAACAAGTTGAACAATTGAGCGGCATGCACACTAGAAGGGGAAAAAAAAAATTTGAAAGGGCCGGTTGCCCCGTGAATCACCTTGCTCTTTTAATGCTGCCTTCTTGTTCTGTGTTTGATGATCCTGCCTTGTTCCTCTGTTCCTACTGATGCTGCCTTGGTGATGATGTGGATTCGCACTTGAAAATGTAGAGTGTGTGGTTAGAGGGCTTCAATGAAAACATGTGAAATATGAATGTGGTGATGGCAATGTTGAGCTGATATAGAGGATGGTAGGTGGTTGAATTGATAGGTGGTTCATATAATGAATTGTAGGTGGTGTGATCTTCTGAATGGTAGGTGGTTCAATAGATGATTTGCCACATATAGTACAATGACTGTAGGTTAAATGTTCAATGTGGCAGAAAAGTAGGTTGAATGTTCAATGCATCAACATCAATAATTTACGGAATGGCACAAATAATTGATGCCACAAATAATGCACAAATAATGTATGGCATAAATACATTGAATAATGCACACATAATGTATGCACAAATAATGAAAATGCATTGAATTTAAAACAAATATACATACAAATACATTGAATATACATACTGAAATGCATGCAATCAGTCCAATTATGAATATTGAAGATAAATCCTTACAAAAGCAATTATTCGAATGCACAAATAATGGCATGCATGATGAATCCCACAAGCCAGACCCTTAATTAATTGAATGCTTCATTTGATGAAAAAATTGAATGCTCCAATCCTCACTTCTTAAAAATGCCAAACCCTTAATCATCAAATCTTTTTAAAAATTCCAAACCTATTCCCAAAAGTTTGTTTCAACAAATTTGGTAAAAAGCTTTTTTTTGCCTTGATTTGATGAAAGAAATGTAAAAGTTTGATTTAATACAAGTTTGATGTAGATTGGAGGTGATTTTTACCAAATTTGTCATCAAATTTTAATTTGATAAAAGATTGAAGATTCTTAGGAAATGTGTGATTCACTGTTTAAGGATGGAAGGGAATCAATGAGTAATAGTAGGAATATAAATACAAAACACGAGACACATATGTCTCATATGAAATGTGATGTACATGATATGAGATCCACATATAAGACTCATTTCATGTAAAACATATATGTCATATTCTATATTTGATATTTGTGTTCCTAGACTTATTGAGGAATCAATAGTGAAGCAAACTTGCAACTCCAAAACAGAATTATAGAACTCCAAAACAGAATTGTCATACTAAAATAAATTATTTTGATGATTGTCATAAATTGAACAGAGAACAATTATGAATATTGAAGATTGGATCACCACAATAGCACATCTAATCACATAACTTCTGCGTTACTTGGTTAATATAGTGCATCATAATGAAGATTACAAACAAGACAACTTTCTATTTCTTTGCTAAACAAAATTACAAAATATATCTGTGGTGAATCTAGTTTTCACCGCGAAGATGCCACATATGTTCTATTAAATCATTACGGAGGGCATGATGTGCATTTTTATCCCTAATACATAAATGACGAGACAAAAATGATTCAAAGTCATTGGTAGGAGTAGAGGAAAGTTGCACTGGTGTGTTGGTAGATGAAATTTCATAATCAAAATCAAGGTGCTCCTCCCTCTCATCTTCAATAATCATATTGTGTAATATAATGCAAGTCTTCATTATGTTGGCAAGCATTTTTGGATCCCAAAAACGTACAGCACCACCTATAATTGCGAATCAAAATTGGAGGACTTCGAATGCCCGCTCTACATCTTTCCTGGTAGACTCTTGCATCATTGCAAAATGTTGTCTCTTAGCTCCTTGGGGAGAAGAAATTGTTTGAACCAGTGTTGCCCATTGCGGGTATATACCATCAGCAAGGTAATAACCCATATCATAACTATGTCCATTAACAGTGTAGTGGACAGGGGGAGCCTTACCTTGGGCAAGATCAGAAAACAAAGGTGGCCGGTCTAATACATTCAAGTCATTGTGTGACCCAGGCATTCCAAAAAATGCATGCCAAATCCATAAGTCATGAGAAGCTACTGCTTCAAGAATAATGGTTGGCTTTTTTTGATGGCCTACGTATTGACCTTGCCATGCTTTTGGACAATTTTTCCACTCCCAATGCATGCAATCTAAACTTCCCAACATACCCGGAAACCCCCGAATCTCGCCAATAGCAAGTAACCTAGCAATGTCAGTTGGTGTCGGAGATCTCAGATATTCTACTCCAAAGATTTCAATCACTGAATAACAAAATTGTTGCAAACTTTGAATCGCAGTGCTTTCCCCAATACGTATGTAATCATCAACTGCATCTGATGCGACACCGTATGATAATATTCTCATCGCTGAAGTCATTTTTTGTAGGGAAGATAATCCAACTACATGAGCTGCATCTTGTTTTTGAATAAAATATGAATTGTGTGCTTCGATTGCATTCAAAATTCGCAAATACAAAGGACGACGCATTCGAAAACGTGTCCGAAATATTGTAGCTAAATACACTGGATTTGCAGCAAAATAATCTGCAAACAATCTGTCATGACCTTGCCTTCTATCTCTGCGTATATACTTGTGACCTACAACAGAACCCCCTATTTTCTTTGAGCTATCACTTGATTTAAGAATCTGAAGCATACTACTGGTATTCTGCTCATAAGCTGCTAAAAGTGTGATCATATATTCATCATCAGACTCCTCATCAGAGGAGGAGGAAGAAGAAGAGGATGAAAATGAAGTAAATATCATGGATTTCAAAGTATCCATCATCCTCTGTTTTGTTTAAGATATAATCCTTGTGTTTAAGCTATGATCCTTGTGGAGTTGTCTGGTATATAAATAATAATGTGTTTATATGAGATTTTAGAAGAAAATAATTATTACGGGTAAACCAATGGAGGGAAAAACAAATAGGAAAAGAATTAGGAACAGAAATGAAGGGAAATCAAAAAAAAAAAAAAAAAGATTACCGGTCGACCGGCCGGTTGACCGGCCGGTCAACCAACCGGTCGCCCCCTACCAGTTCACATCGGTCAGTTCACGTTGGTTGGTTCAAACAGTTCAGTGGTTGGTTCAAACAGTTCAGAAAGGTTTAAAAAAAAAAATATTTCTCTAACCGGTCGACCAGTCCGGTCGACCAGTCCAGTCGACCATCCGGTTGTCCTGAATGAGATTTGATGAAGGTGAACCGTTGGAGCGTGAAGTATCAAATTAAGAAAATGGCCATTTTTTAACTCAGATTTGGTGAAACATTAGGTGAACCGTTGGAGATGCTCTAACCCGTTCCTTTTGATTATTAGAAGTCAAAGGGTTGATATATTTATTTTTTTTAAAATATATTTTTTTGGTGTGTTGGTGCTAGAGTCTTTCATTTTGGCGCCTATTTTTTTTCAGTCATAACATTCACAGCATGCATTGTGCATCGTAAAAAAGTAATACTTTTAACGACAAGCACTGTGTGCATCGTAAAAAATACAATACTTTTAACAACGAGCATTGTGTGCGCTGTGAAAATTGTAATACATTTCACGGTTAGCCTTTGTGTGTCGTGTATAGTTGATGTTTTAACGGCACGCCATATGCATGTCATATTATTATTTAGGGTAAACATTGCAAGTCGTAAAAAATCATTGTTACAGCCTACGCAATAGACACGTCGTGGTTGAAAAATTATTTACGACAAGCAAAAAAAACAAGTCGTAAAAGTGAGAGACCACGGCATGCATTTATCGTATGTCATTGATGTGGTGCCGTGAAAATCCAGTGGAATGTCATTGAATAATAACTACAATCTACTTATCATGAAGTAGAAAGTAGTAAGTCAAGTCTAGTGACGTAGTAAGTAGAGTTTAGTTTAGTAATAACTAAAGTTTAATGAAATAGTAAGTAAAAACTCATCGAATAGTAACTGAGATTGGATTGACTAACAAGTTAAGTATGATGATGTAGTAAGTAAAGGAACATTGCGTAATACATGGGGCCTGATTGAGTAATAAGTAGAAGCCTGAGTATTTACCATTTATAAACATAATATTTATCATACATTTTGATTGTATTTACCATACTTTTTTATTCTACTTGCCATTGTTTTGAACTTACTACTATTATGAAACAACTTACTACTCATTTTAAACTTACTACTCAAGTTTGATGGACTAGTAAGCAAAGTCTAATAAAATAGTAAGTAGTCTCATTAAGTAGTAAGTGAGATTTAATTGAGTAGCAAGTGAAATTTAATGAGTAGTAAATCAAGTCAAATGAAGTGATGTACTAATAAGTACTAAATTAAGTCTAATAAATTATTGGAACCGCCACATCCACACAAAAATAGGTCTCCCGACTCCCCTAAATAACGTGGGATATTTTTTTCTGTATAGTAAATCAATTCAAATGAAGTGGTATTTTTTTCAATACTAAATGAAGTCTAATAAATTTTATATTTTGTTTAATAATTTAAAATTCATATTTTTAATTTATTATTTAGCAGTCATTGTGACTCTACCTATAATTTGTTTTCATTTTACTTGCCAATCAATAGCAACTAGATCTTATTGAGTAGTAATCATGTTTGATTAAATCGTAAATAAAGTTTGATGGAGTATTAAGTAGAGCATGAACGAGTAGTAAGTAGAGTCTTATTAAGGGGTTGTTTGGGATGACCTAAGTAAGTGCATTTTTTTATCTTTTTACGAAAAGATGTACAGAAAAGTAGAGAGGTGATGTGATAAAAAAAAGATAAAAAGATAAAAAGATGGATTATTTGAGGTATGCCAAACTTGGCCTAAGTAATAAGTGAGATTTAATTTAGAAGTATGTAGAGTCTTATTAAATAATAAGTGATAATTAATTAAGTAGTAAGTCACTTATTCAGACAATACTTACCATTGATTGTGATTCTACTTACCACTCATTTAGATAGTATTTACCATTCATTGACAACATAGTTCTTTGCTAAAAGAGTTATTTAGCAAATAATTTACGACATCATCACAATAAAATCTAAAAATTTTAAATCAAAATTCAATAATGGATCTTCTATAGGTTATATGATGGCACTATCAGAATCAAAATATAAAAGTGACACTAGATTTCATATTATGTCTTTCTTAATGGATCTGTACCCATTGTTGGGTGCACCTAGAAACCATCATGGTTACTAAGATAAATTGTAGAACTTGATGTTGAGATCATATTTATCATTTATAAACATAATATTTATTTTTCATTATGATTCTACTTATTATTCATTGTGATTTTACTTACTATTCATTGAGTAATATGTGAGTTTAATTGAATAATATGTCTAGTCTAATGAAATAATAAGTGGAGTCTGATTGAACTATAACTGATATCTAATTGAGGAAGTACTTACCATTTATAAGTACAATACTTACTATTCGTTTTGATTCTATTTACCACGCATTGTACTTTACTTACTACTTTATATTTCATTATATCTACAGTTTTTTGTATATTTACTAGTTATTACTAATCTACTTGTCACTTCTTGTAACAACACACAACTTTATTAATAAAATAATTTAGTATTGTATGACTCAAAATTAATTTAAAATTGGATTACACAACTTGAAAGTTTGGTTAGTGAATGGTAAATAACGTTCAATCTTTAACTAAATCACATGATTTGATTTGATTTGATTTGATTTTTTAATACATGATTTGTCTTAATTTTTATAATTGGTAAACCATACTTCACAATTTGGTCCATAATTTTATAGTTATGATTATGATTTGAAACTGAATTGATACGTTTATATATGTATGTATGTATGTATGTATGTATAAATAAATAAATCTCATAAGATTAATATAATTACACTGATCTCGTATTTAGTAAAGTTAAAACAATTGTAATTAATGCAGATTGTATGCAAATATAAGAATAAAAACATATATATAATAATATTTCAATATCGGTAGTGCTACATGCACTAATTGGTACACCAATTAGTGTACTAACATATATTATAACATTATTAGTGACCATATCCATTATTCAAATTATAAATACCTAAAATCTCTAAAATTATGAAACAACATCTGTTAGTACACTAATTGATATATCAATTGATATATATAACATTATTCTTTCAATATTAAAGAAATGGTATCATTTTTTTATTCATACAACTAACAAAATGTTATTAATAAATGAACTAAATATTATGTCAATTAAATTTTGAAAGAAGTGTGATATAATTATGTCAAATTTTATATAACTCAATTCTATTTTTTAAATCTAAAAAAGATTAGTATAACTTTTTTTCCCCTGTAATAAACAATTTAATGTAAAACTCATTGCATAAAAGGTGACCACCTGTTCTTAAAAAAAAAAAACTAATAATAATAAATATAAATAAACAAATTTCACCACCTACAAAACCAGACCAGTGATTCCAGTCATTAAAGTGTGTTGGTTGGAATTGGTATGTCACTTTTATGCATGGTACAAACTTTCCGCCCTTAACTGTATGACTGAGACTCTACACATTTGGGGTTACTGTATGACTGAGACTCTACACATTTGGGGTAACGAGGGTCCTCAAATTAGGGTCCAAGCTTTTTCCTTCTGTCACCTAACAACGCCTCTCTCTCTCTCTCTATGCATACATATGCACACATAACATCCACACCCCATCATCTAATTTTTAATTTAAAAAATTATTTACTTTGTTATATAAATATAAGGATAAATTACAAATACACCCCTTGAGATTTACTTAAAATATAAATTGTCTCCTGAGATTTAGAAAATTACAAATACCCCTTATTAGAATTTTTTATTTAACAGAATTAATTAAACAAATGAAATTCATAATTGCTCTCCTATACAATAATAAAATTATCCAAATTATTAATTGAAATATATTTCTAATATCATTAAAAACGGTTAATTGATCGGATGATTTATTAATAAAATGAACGATTTATTATGAAGTTAAAAATCTCAGGAGATGAAATGTAATTTTCAAAACCACAAGAGATAATTTGTATTTTAATCAAACCGTAGGGGGTGTATTTGTAATTTATCTTAAATATAATATATATGACTTTTAATATATAAATTTGATTTTTATAAAATTAATACATTTTGAAAAGATATCAATAAAATCTTTAGAATGAGACTAATATTTAATGTATTTAATAAAAAATTAAATTAATAATTCAAAATTTATAAAAATTTACATAATTAAAATAATTTGTAGGATTTGAGTGAATATAAATAATATTTTTTTTAAATTACTTTTATATAACAAATATTATTTTTAGTTATTAAGAGGAAACATAGAGATTAATAAAAATATGAGTTAATTTTCTAAAAGTCCTATTTACAAATGTTATGGTAATTCAGGCCCTATTTAAGATTTTTTGAACCAATAAGTCCTATCTAGTAAAATTGAGAATATTATCAGTTTTTATAAATTTTTAAAATTAAGAACATTATCAATTTTGTATAGTAATGTTCTAAATAATTGTTTCACTAATTGACAAAAAAAACAGAGTATGAGATTAAACTTGTTGCCCTTCTATTTATTGTTTTGATTCAACTATCCAATAAAACAGAGAACGTTAACATTTAAAAAAAAAAAAAAAAAAAACAGAGACCATTATCAGTTTTTTCATTTTTAAACTTTTTTTTTTTGGTTAAAGTTTTGCACATCAATATTCCATCATCATGCTCCTTTATAGACAGAAAATTTTCAATTTTGCACAAAAAAAAAATCAATTTTTTCAATTTAAAAAAA